CCACTGTTGCGGGTGGAATTTCTAAAATCGCTGATTTTGCAAAAACTGTGAAACACATCTCAAATGAATTTCCGCAAAGATTCCCTTTTGCTTTTAACTAAGACAATCCGGACATGTCCATCTGTTCGTCAGCCTTCAATATTGAAATTTCCACTCAAGATAGGGCAAACAATTGTTTCATTTTTCACAGTGTAAAGAAAAGGTATGTTTTGGGTATTTGGGCTATTTATGAAGCGTTAAGGCAAAATTAATTACAGGATACATTTAGAAAACAAATAACAAATAATGTAGGCATACGAAACTTTAAGCGCAATCTTTGTTTTTTCACATGCTTTAAATAGAATCTGGACGACTGGACATTTGATGTGTTTGCATTGACCGAGGCGGCCAGTGGCCAGGTGATTAAGTATGTGGCCTACGATCTGCTCAATCGATATGGCGCTATGCACAAGTTTAAGATAGCGCCAGGCGTCTTGGAGACGTTTCTGCATCGCGTTGAGGAGGGCTACTGTCGCTTCCGCAATCCGTATCACAACAATCTGCATGCGGTGGATGTGATGCACACAATGCACTATTGCCTGTGCAATACGGGTCTGATGAACTGGCTGACGGACTTGGAGATATTCGCCTCGCTGCTGGCGGCCCTGCTGCACGACTTTGAGCACACCGGCACCACCAACAATTTCCATGTGATGTCCGGCTCGGAGACGGCGCTGCTTTATAATGATCGGGCCGTGCTGGAGAATCATCATGTGAGCGCCAGCTTTCGGCTGATGAGGGAGGACGATGCCAATATATTGTCGCACCTGTCACGCGAGGAGTATAAGGAGCTGCGCACCCTCATCATTGATATGGTGCTGGCCACCGACATGACCTATCACTTTCAGCAGCTGAAGATTATGCGCAATCTGCTGACACTGCAGGAGCCGACCATTGACAAATCGAAGGCGCTGTCCTTGGTGCTGCACTGCTGTGATATCTCCCATCCGGCGAAACATTGGGATGTCCATCATCGCTGGACGATGCTGCTGCTGGAGGAGTTCTTTCGCCAGGGCGATCTCGAGAAGGAGCTGGGCCTGCCCTTCAGTCCGCTATGTGATCGCAAGAATACGCTTGTGGCCGAATCTCAAATCGGCTTCATCGATTTCATTGTCGAGCCCAGCATGACCATCATGTCCGATATGCTTGAGCACATCCTAGCGCCCATTGCACCCGTAATTAAAAGCAAGCCGGGACCATTGGTCGAGGAGAACGCCACCAGCGCCGATGGCGATGCGGATGAGTCGAAAAAACAAAATGCCTGCGCCATGACGCGCAAGAGCCTAACTCCCAGTGCAGCCAAGTTCTCAATCAACAAACCCTGGCTCATCTGTCTCTCGGAAAATAAAAAGATCTGGAAGGAGCAAGCCATCAAAGGTAGGTACCCTAGCTGGATGCACACCAGGCCTTACGCCTGGGCCTCGCTAATTAATTCGAATTTGATTCGCACTCAAATTGCCTTTTAGCCGCTTGTCGTAGTCAATTTGGGCATGGACTAATTTCAATGTCCTGCCATCCTTTTGATCCTTTAGCATTCATTAAACAAACTGTAACCTTTTACGCAGAGCTCTTAGATCGACGAAGAAAAAGTACCATCTAAAGCTAGACCCAGACCAAGAAACACCACAAAATACTCAAGAAAAACAAACACGTAAAAGTTCTCGATGCGGGAAATTCCAAAATCTGTCGAAATATGATCAAAAAGCTCTGCTTAGATCCTGATCCAGCTAGTTCGTAGTTTGGATATGGCAATTGTATTTTATGTATTTGAAACTTTTCACACCACAAATGGTTCAGAGTTTGATAATAAAAATCCTCGACATATCGCTTCCCTAACAATAACTACCTTCGAGAATATTAGCCCTTCGGGAAATTAGGATTTGAATTTAACTGACAGCTCAATCTCAGTTAAACTCAGTTAAGGAGCTTGTTTTAGAAGAAGAATTCTGGACATTTTGCATTGGAGCCCATAGCAAGGTTCATCGTGTGTGCTAGCTTCAATCTGAAAATCGAGCAGACTAATCCTTTATGCGATTCCCTTCCAGATGCCGAGGCACGTGCGCTGGTCGCCGCTGCCGAAGCTGCAGCCGAAGCCGAGAATAATCCCGCTACAGAAACGGAGGACGGCGCACAGAAGGAAGCGGTCGTTGAGTAAACCCTAGCGATAAGCGATAAGAGATAAGAGATAACCAGATACATAGATACAATCTCTGCACAGATAATAAAACCAACAACAACAACTAACTAACTAATTAGCAACCATATTTAACTATATGAATAACTCGAAAATTGTATAAATTATGTTGATTAACAAAATATTGGTAGAGATCAGATAATGAAAAATCAGCAAATATCACAAAAAAAAACTAAGTAAATTTCTGAATGTACTATATACGATATAATATATTATTTGCTTGCAACTAGTTTGTTAAAAAGGGGAGAAACCCTAAACAAATATTAGCGTAAACATTTTTCTCACAATGTTGTAAATAGCTGGCATTTGTAGGAGATTATTTGGTTTGTTTTTTTTTTTTCAAGAATAAGCATTTACTTAGCTTAGTTCATCGATTGAAATACTTATACTTACCCAATATAAGTATATATTATTATTAATTTTAATTTTAATTTCTTAAGTTTTGGAATCTATTGTAAAAGTATTTTATTAAAAAAAAATGTATTTTTTATAATTTACTTTTAGTATTTTTTTCTCTTTGGTTTTTTTGTTTCAATACTAAAATTTGCTCAATTTTGGAGTTACGCACGAAGGCGAACGGATTTTAAGAGCTGGCTAGATCTTAAGTACCTAAACTAAAAAATACCTGAAAAACTAACTAGCTATACAACTTGTGTTAATATCTAAAAGACCTCTAACAGACTATCTAAACCAAAAAAAAAAAAAAAAAAAAGAAATCTTTACTTGAATTTCCCTCAACATATGCACAGGCTACCTACATATATCGTGTGCAGGCATGTTAAGAATAATTATAATAATGGAACACACTTCATCCAAAAGTGTAGCATATTTATTTTTATACGTGAACAAGGCTTATGTTTACAAAAAAAAAAAAAAAAACCAAAAAGAAAAACCAAAAAAAAAAAAATAATAGCATTATTGAGCTAGCACAGTTAATATGTTAGACGATTCTTTTCTTTAAGTTCTTGTCTGTATTTTTCTCGTATTCGAAGAGGAATCCAAACTAAAATGTTTTAAACGTTTTTCAAAATGTCTGATAGCGGGACCATTCTTTTAAGATTTACCAGTGTTCTTTGCACAGCGACAGCGACAGAAAAAAATAATGGGAATTTCCTCTGGGCATTTGGGCCTGGGAACAGTTATTGTGCGCTCCCTGCCGTTTTTACGAACGGCAACGGGTTAAAGAGCAGTGGTAAATGTGCTTAGCGGTAAGGTACCAAATTATCAGCTGAAATTGGGATCATAGCTTTATTAAGGTAGTAAATACTTGTAATTAACTACTGTAGTTGGTAACAGTGCATATGCGCTACACGTATGCCGTATGAAACGTATAATACCATACAGTTAGTTACTTGCATACATACATATTTATTATACACATACAAACATACATACATACATATTTAATCTCGTACTTAGCTACAGCAAATACAAAATATAACATAACAACAACATAACAAATATACATATACATATAAGCCACAAATACGAATACATATATGTGTATATATAATGTTAAAAGTATGTGTATCGAACAAATTGAACGCTCAAAGCGATTAGGCAATATACAGTTATAGTCGGCTATAGTCAGTTACTATTTGTATCTATGTAGAGCTCTGTACAAAATTAACAGTTGATTCTTGTAAGAATGCATTCGATTTGGGGCAGAGGCCAATTTGTGAAGTCTGTGCGTTGTTTGGCTATTTTGGTGGGAGCTATATGAAAATGCTATGAAAAACATAAAAAACATATAAATAATATTGTTATGAAAACTGTTATCAAAAATAGCGTAAAATACATTCAATATACATTCTTAACGTTATTAGCGTATGTAGTTTTGTAGCAACAATAAATACTCAACACGCATATTGTATAACTAACATAATAATAACAGTAACAGTAACAATAACATACAAATGTTATGCACGCATTTTTGATTCAAATTTATCAAATTTCTTTAACATTTTCAATCTTCTGAAATATCGCAAATGTTCATTTCCGTTAGACATTCTTTTTAGAAATGCGCAAGTCATAATTAATATAAAGTATATATAAATATATGAGTTGAAAGCAATCAGTACATTTAATGAATAAACTACTTAATGCATATAAAAATGTTATATTTAACCAAGCAAAGAAGAAAAAAAAAACCAGACCGTACTAACAAAATGTAGGTTTTGTGTAAGTAAATGTGCATAGAATGTCGTTCGCAACATTCAAAATGTTTAACCCATTTTTAGCCAGCACAACACTAAATACACTTCTATAGCAAACATGCTGCACGCTAAACTGTAAATAATTTTGTTTCATTTTTAACTAAAGTAATATAAACGTCTCTAAAAGGTTTACGAACAATGTAAATTTCTTAATTTCCATCTAAGTTGAACTCAAAGTGTTTATTATGCATATTAATCGGCTAGTTTATGAAAGTATTTAGATGGCTGAGATGTGTGCTTATTACGAAATACCTTCAAGAAATTATAATAACAACATATGACTTTTAATATACTAATAAAACTATAATTAAACCTATTAGTGCGTTTTTCAAATTGCCTCCGATTTTCAGTTACAAAAGTAAGACTATCTCGATACTTGTGGCATCGCAAAAATTACAATAACATTATGCTAAAAATCTGTTATCAAAATGTGCATGCTAATTAACAGAACTATTTGAGTATAACAGCCGAGAACAGCTGGTGGCTTGTGAGCGAAACATGTGAATGGTATTGTGTACACGTCGTGTGCTGACTGTCAGTTTATTGTAAGTAGCTGCACAAGTAACAACATTTTTTCGCTAGACTTTCCTATAAAAATGTCGATACAAATACCAATAAGATGCAGTGTATTGTGTGCATAAAATTCAACGCCAATGCAGCGTTAACAAATTAATTAAACCACTATTGTTAGCAACAACGCAGTCAGCAACTCCACTGTGTACGTGAATATGTGTGCGTGTGTGTATGAGTGAAGTTTTTGCTCATGGCGTTGCCATGCACGCAGCGGCAAATTGAAGACTATGTTGTTGTTGTTGCTGCTGTTGTTGTAGCTGATATTTGTTATTTGTGAAAAAGGCCATGATTAATGTTGAATGGGCAAAACGTTTCAGTCAAGTGACAGTGACACACTTATCTTAAACTGGACTATCACTGCCAACCGCCTGACCATACAACGGGCCCCGCCCCATTCAATATTTACCCCCCGCCTCCCCGCGCTCCAACCGTTTCCTTTTACCAAATTAAGCAAGCACCTTGACACGCCTTGGCGACGCCGCCACCGTCCACCCACCAACTGTCGTGCTCGGACTTAATTAATTTTGCAATAATAATCTGAACGCCATCGCTTTGTAAATAAACAGGCCAACGGAATCTTATCGCGTACGCCACGTTGCGGGGTATCCGGACAGCATCTTTATCATATTGGGTAGAATCGGAGGCGACAAAATGCAAGCACATCCAATATTATATTTTGGTACATGGCACCAATAAGTGCCTAAGTGTTATCATGGCAGAAAGAAACATCAGTTATATGGTTTTTTTTTTTCGGACCAAGCCAGGCACTTGATTTAAAAACACATGTATATTGTTTGTATTTGCAGATTATAGTTTCTTGTTCGACGCTTGGTTGCAGGCAGCAGCAGCAGCAGCAGTTATTGTTGAAAGATACGCCAGCGCCATGCTCATAAGAAACGCGTCGAGTAGTCAACGAAATCGAGCAAGTGCCAAAAGTCGCAGAAACTCAAAAGCGTGAGCACCCACTCCGGCCCAAGTCGAGTGTCGCAAGAGCTACATTTGGCCCAAGCAATACAAGTGAAGCAAGCGAGAGAGAGAGAGAGAGGCGAAGACCAAACACTAGTCAGACACTAGGCAGTTGCATTTATATTTGATCTTAAGCGACTCATCATCAACCATGGGCAACAAGAACTCGTGCTGTGCGTACTCCAGTCCGCAGTCGGATCGCAAGTCGAAGGATATACCGCCGGTGTTTGAGGAGAGGCATCAGTTGCCGCACACCTCGCAACATCAGCTAGACGGTCATCATGGATCTGGTGGCGCCACGATGTCCGTGCATCATCATCAACATCAGCAGGGCGGCAGTGGTGATAACTTTGAGAATCAACAGAATCTGCAGCACATTTCGGAGCGTGAGGCGCTCGAGGGTGAAGAGGATCCTTCGGTGGATCCTACAGCAGCCACCATGTTTCTGGAGCGCTCCAAAGTCGAAAATGGCGGCATTTCACGCAAGCGCTCCCAACATCAAATCGCACAACAAAACAACAGCGTAGGAGGCGGCGGAGCCCATACACCTGGCGCCAACAGCTCTGGCGGCGGCACTGGAGGTGGCCTCAAGAAGAGCTCCTCCTGTTCCACAATCTATTTAGATGACAGCACTGTGTCCCAACCGAATCTAAAGAACACCGTCAAATGCGTTTCTCTAGCAATTTACTATCACATCAAGAATCGTCAGTCGGATCGACGTTTGGACATATTCGACGAGAAGCTGCATCCATTAACACACGATCATGTGCCCGACAACTATGACACACTCAATCCTGAGCATCGACAGATCTACAAGTTTGTGCGCACCCTCTTCAATGCCGCCCAACTAACGGCCGAGTGTGCCATCATAACGTTAGTCTATCTGGAACGTTTGCTTACCTACGCGGAACTTGATGTGGGGCCATGCAACTGGAAGCGCATGGTCTTGGGTATGTGATCCGAGATGCGCGATATTCAAGGAACTCTGCTTATCTAGCGTTAAAGAGTATAATCATAGTCTGGTAGCATTAAACATCGTTTATGTTCTGGAACTGCAGCTTCACAGTTTATGATTATAGTTTTAAAGGAAGAAAGTTCATTCCTGGATATCGCCTCTACTAGTTTACGATTTTTTGAATCTCTTATTTATATTGTGTGGTTGCAGGTGCCATACTGCTTGCATCTAAGGTGTGGGATGACCAGGCCGTGTGGAACGTGGACTACTGCCAGATACTCAAGGATATTACGGTCGAGGATATGAATGAGTTAGAGCGTCAGTTTCTGGAGCTCTTGCAGTTTAACATTAATGTGCCCTCATCCGTTTATGCCAAATACTATTTTGATTTGCGCACGCTTGCCGAGGCGAACGAGCTAAATTTTCCCACTGAGCCGCTATCAAAGGAGCGCGCACAGAAACTGGAGGCCATGTCGCGCGTTATGCAGGACAAGGTGACAGCCGAGGCGCTTAAGAATGGCATCAAGAAATGGTCCTCAATGGACAACGTCAGTCAGGGCGGTCCGCGGCGAAGCGTGGCCATATTATCGTGATTTATATTAGCCTATTAAAAACTTATATCTATATTCAATTCTGTAGAAACCGTAGCGGTTCCATACTGTCCTTTCCACAAACAAACTGAAACGATCGCGCCTGTAAGTGTAACTATCACCATTTGTTTAATTTCTACTGCATTTCGATGAACATTTCGCAAGACTTCAAAAACACACATCTAACAAGAAAGCACAACCAAAACAAAACATTTACTAAAAAAAGAAAAAGAAAACATAACGAAAATCTTACACTCACACACACACACCAAGTCTCGAATTAAGGACCACTTTTTATATATATACAATGGTATAGAATGCTTGTTCTAGCATATTTGTATATTATCGTAGGCGAAACTAGCGATTGCAGTCAAGGATTTGGATGATTTTAACATATGCCTACAACTAGAGGAGCGCGTAACCAATTGCCAAAAATATTGAAATGAAAAATAAACATAAAACAAAAAAGTTAACTCAAAGAAATTGCCCTGTATAAAATGCTTGAATATTAAATATTGTATTTTGTAATTGGTTTAGTCACTTAAATAACAAATCGAATTAATCTCAATGGATTCCAAGGTGACTAATCCAAAATGAATTTTTAGCAACTGCGCCCCAAAACAAAAACACAAAAAAAAAACATTATTTTTGTACATGTGTTACGAATTTTTTTGGTTTTCCTTAATTTCAATTATGTGATTTCTTATAGATTTGTCTTAGGTCCTATATATATATATATATATATATACGAACGATCGCTAACGGCTTCCTTGGCCACAATGCAAACTATGCTTAGGGCGCAGCACAATTATGGGGCGTGGCCTGCGTCAAAATGGATACATCTGTTTTGGTTTATACTAACATAAAAAACAGCGCAATATTAACCCAAGATTTGTGAGTACATTAATATTTAGTCACATAAGAATACGAATTATATGCAAATGTATTTTATTTTGTAATTTATTTTACGATAACGCGAAATAAAACAAATCACAAATTACATTTCCTGGCACTAATTTAACGGAAAACTATGTGAACCTGAACGAATTAACCTAAAGGCCAGCAGGTTAAATTAAACAAAAGCCGGCCGCTATAACAGTACAATTGAGGTGAATTTGGTGTGTTATTATAATTAGTTAAGAATTCACCATAGTCAATCTTACATTTAACCACAGCTATTTACATACATTGAGTAAATAACTGTTTTTTTTTTTACGAAAGGCAATACAAACAGAAAATGCATTGCGTATATTATATACGATATAATTGTCCTATCGATATATTAAGCTACACGATATACAGCTCATTTAAGCTTATCTTATTTATTGCTATATTAATAATACTTTATATGTGTACAACTTCTATAAGCATACGTATTTAGTTTCTACATTTTATTATTTTTTACCAGCCATTCTAAGCCTGATTCAAAAAAGTATTAACATCGATATCATATCTATGGCAAACAATAGTTACCATGCAGAAAATATCAAGAGTAATTGTTAAATATCGAAGTTTCGATAGCTCGCTAGAACCATCCCTAATTCTGCTCTCCTCGCTCTTCATATTTTGTGCACAAAAAATGCTGTTATAAAAAAGTGAAATAATATGCGTAAACGCGGTGCAAAATGTTCGCAAAAAGAAGATAGCCATAGTGCGTGCGGTATGAAATTTTGACGTTGTTGGTGCCCGTCTTCAGCCGCCATTAGGAAGAATTGTATGCGTTGTGGTGCTGGACGCCTGCTGCTGCAACATACACAAGCAAGAAAAAAGAGGAGTGGTGGGCAAGTCGAAAGAACTTGGTTTTCTGGTCTGACCGCTGTAAGTAAACTGTGCATATGCATACGCATGCATCTGTATGTGTATGTGCATTAAAGTATTTAATCCTAACCGCGAAGTCAAGTATGCTGTGTGTCTATTTAATGGTTGTTCAACTATAATGCTGCCATATTTTAGCTTAAAATTTTTACCGCCTTTTTATGCCCAAGCACAAGCTCCTAAAAGCAGCGCGCAGCCAGTCAATAAGAACAACGCAATCGCACACAAACTTACTCACATATACGCAAAAACGACACACTGTTTCTGTACCTCTCTCTCGCTCTCTCTCTCCGTCTCTCTCAAACACCATCTCTTTCTCTCTTTGCTTTTTCTCTGCTTCTCCCACGAGAAACAGGAACGCCGAACACGATACAAGAGCTCTGCACGAATGCACAGCATGGGTAGTTCGAAACTATGTAGAATTGGTGCTAACGTACATAAGCAACAAAAACATATATTTTTATCTATATATAACCACTATTAATTTATAAATACTCTCTTTTTTAAATATGTATATACTTAAGGAAAACAATAATAATTTATCGAACATGCTGACGCACTCATAAGGTGTGCAAGCAGATGTTTTTATCAACTGTACTGCTGCACCTTAATTTTCTTGATTTATATGGAATTTTATTATTTGTCCAAGATAATTAATGTTAGTTATTTTGGAAAATATTACATTTTGTGGATATATTTATTTTTAAGTTAATTTCTTGAAGCCGGTTTGGGAAGTTTAAAAAATAAAATTGAACATATTGAAAATTTCGTTCGCAGGAACGCGGTATGTCAATTGTTTGTGCTCACTGTGTGTTCGTGCAGGGCACGAAACGAATGCGCCTCACGAAGAACTTTACATCGCGCTTCTGCTTCTGCTGCCTCCGCGTCTCATTCAATTTTCAGTTTGCTTTGCTCTGTACACCGTACACCACCGCCTCTCACCCGCGCGGCGTTTTGATTTTTCTACTACTGTTGCTGCTGTGCTGCTAAAGTTTTTTCCACATACACGCACCGCAACCACTACAATCAAGTAATTTTTCATACATACATACATATAATGGCGTCATAAGAACATATTTTAGCGAATGTTTATGCAAAAATGCACACAAGTAATTGGTTGGGGTAGTGAGGCTTTACAGTGAAAAGTGCTCATGGAAGCGAGTGAAAATAATCTGATTGGAAAAATAGTGTACATTTGTGAAATTCTAATACAATATTATCAAATGACTGCGGTCGACATCAGTGTGTGTGTGAGAGTGTGAGCAACTTATGCATGCTTATGTGTGTACGTTTGAATGAGATACGTGAGCTGCTGTGCGCTTATGTATTGTATCTGTGTGAACGTGTGTGTGTGTGACTTCGTAATGTATATATATACACATACCGAGCTCCCATTAACGTCATCATCGTGTCATTTTCTTGTTTGCTCTGCGACGCAGGGTTGCATTTTCGAAAAATTAATTTTTCGTATTAATAAATGTAAATGCAAGCGAGCTTTGATTGTATGCGTGTATATATGACCTGTGAATATCTTATTCGGAAATAACATTTTTAGATTTTTGGGTACCATATGTTACATTAAGTTAAGGTTTCTGATTTTTAGTTTATACATTAAGCATACTATAATAGTGTTTTTTTTTCTTTTCGAGTTTTCTTTTTATTAATTTTTTTTATGTATTCTATTTTATTAAACAATTATGAAATGCACACTAATTGCCTGTAATGAAAATACATACAGTATGTCAATAAAGTGTTTTTACTAACAAAAAAAAACTAATTTTTTGGGTTTAGTTGAAAATAAATGTACCTAAAAGTGAGAATTTTTTTTCAATTATAATTTATTTCGATTCTATATTTCTCCTAGAACTTAATGGCAAAAAGAATTGTTAAATAACATTACCCAAACATTTTATAAAATTAAAAAACTAAAAACATTCACATTTTATGCTGTCAATAAAGTGTTTTTACAGCTACGGTAAATTGTTTTGCCGTTCTCTTTTGGGTGATCCCGTTAGATTTGGGCCCATGCGTTTTGGCTTCTCTTGTGTCTTCGACTTTTCTTGTCATTTTCTATTGCAATTTATAACGTTTTGCTTTAATTTTATGAAAAATAAAATGCCAGGAAAAAGAACAACTTTTGAAGTCGCTCAGCTGGTGTATTATAACCATCAGATGGGACGTCAAGTCTCGGAACTGGCTGATATGTTTAATTTATCAAAAGCAACGATATACAACATATTAAACAGAGCCAATAAGGAAGATAGGCTAGAGGCAAAGCCAGTATGTGGTCGACCCTGCAAAATTTCTGACAGAGATAAGCGAAAAATTCTGAGAAAAATTGAGAAAAATCCACAAATTTCGCTTAGGGATATTGCTCAGGAGTTCAAGGAAGAAAGTGGTGTTGATGTGTCACATGAAACTGTCCGAAAATTACTGAATTCCAATGACTACACATCACGAGTTGCCAGGAAAAAACCTCTACTATCGGCGGCGAATATTTTGAAGCGGCTATCGTTCGCTCAAGTCCATGTAAATAGTTCGAACGATTTTTGGAGTAACGTCATATTCTGTGACGAAAGCAAGATGATGCTATTCTACAACGATGGGCCATCCAGAGTCTGGAGAAAGCCACTAACAGCGTTGGAAAACCGCAATATTATTCCAACCGTTAAATTCGGAAAACTATCAGTGATGGTGTGGGGGTGTATTTCGAGCAAGGGTGTAGGAGATTTGACCTTCATTGAGAATACCATGGATGCTAGACAATATCTGAGCATTTTACAGACACATCTCGTCAGTAGTGCACAGAAATTTGGATTCTATGAGGACAATAAGCCAATTTTTAAATTTTACCAGGACAATGACCCGAAGCATAAAGCTCATATGGTAAGAGTTTGGCTGTTGTACAACTGTGGAAAGGTGTTAGACACTCCACCACAAAGTCCAGATATGAATCCAATAGAAAATGTGTGGTCATATTTGAAAAAAAAAGTCGCAAAGCGGAGTCCAAAATCAAAAACTGATTTAAAAGCTGCTGTACTGGAAGAATGGCAGAAGATTCCAGAAACATACATACAAAACCTTATTGTTTCAATGAAACGGCGATTGCAGGCTGTATGTGACGCTAATGGCAGCCACACAAAGTATTAAAAAAAAATATTCCTGTTTTTTTAACATTGTTATTTAGTAATAAAGTTTCGTGTAAAAACACTTTATTGACAGCATAAAATTTGAATGTTTTTAGTTTTTTAATTTTATAAAATGTTTGGGTAATGTTATTTAACAATTCTTTTTGCCATTAAGTTCTAGGAAAAATATAGAATCGAAATAAATTAGAATTGAAAAAAAATTCTCACTTTTAGGTACATTTATTTTCAACTAAACCCAAAAAATTAGTTTTTTTTCGTTAGTCAAAACACTTTATTGACATACTGTATGTATCTCTCTCACGCCTCTCCCTGCTCAGCGAAAAATTGAGCGACAACCAAACAAAATTAAAAATAAAAAGCCGAGAGACGAGGCAACGACAGAAATAATTATAACTATAACTCGAGTTCGACATAGAATGTGGGCAAAACGCAAAACTTGTATGCGCCGCCTGTACTGTTCTCTTTTCGTTTTGGTTCGCTCGTCGCGCGCCCGCCTTAGCTTTCATTTTTTCTCGTTTTGCCTGTGCCAGCCTTTTTCGCTTTATTTTGTACTTACGCTTTGCGATTCAATTCGTTTTTATTGGTTTTCCGCTTTAGGCGGTTGGAATTGTACGTAGCGTCAACGTGCAAATCGTCAGAGGGGTGTGTATGAGGAAACGGTGGAGCGTTGTTCAATGAATACTGAGAGGCAATGTAAGTGCGAGAGAGTGAGAGGCAGAAGCAGCGTACGAAAGAGCGAGAGCGGCAGCGAACGTCGTGTGAGCGAACAACGAAACAACAAATAAAGCAAAATATAAAAGTGCACAAAGCAAGGAAGAAGAGGCATGGGCCAGGCCACACAATGAAGAGACGATTGCGGGCCAAGAAACCAGTGAGAGAGGCAGCAGAGAGAATAAAATACAACTTCTTTTTTTTTCGGTTGGCAGAGGAGCCAAAAGCAAACTAAAGCAGAGAGGTTCAACATCTAGAAGACGGGCAATGCACGCACATACCGCAATAGATGTAGTACATACATAAACACATACATATGTATGTGTATACGTACTTATAGTTCATATAACTAATTTGATTTGTTAGCACGATATGAGTGATATTTTAAAAGTATCGAACGTTTTTAGATGTTTAATTACTTATTGATATTTTGATACAATATTATATGGAGTATATACATACATATGCATATGTAAGCTTCCTATGAATTAAAAAATATGCACATATTACACGGCTTCCAATTTCAACCATGTTAGCCCTGCCAATTGTCTGTCGCCCCCTGCCGTTAATTGCGACGCAGCTTTCATCTGTGTGCCTGTACAAGCACACACATACATATACAGTTATACGTATGCATATGTACACATCTGTTGTATGTGTGTACTTTTGCATATTGACTGCAAATAATTTTCACTTGATTTGCTTTTGCTGCCTCCTTCCCTGCTTTCTGGTGTTCTGTGCGTGGTGGCGGCGGCAAACTTTAATAGTGGGAAGGGGAGTGCAACTGTACCGCGCGGTCTGTTTGATTATTTCGCGTAAACATAAACACAAAACAAACTGTTGCTCACCGCTGCTGTTATCGTTGCCTCTCTTTTTGCAGGTGGCCCGAACGTAACGAAGTACTGATTGAAAATGCATTGAGCGCGGCAGCCGGTTAATTTTAAAGTACATTTAATATACATGTATAGGTTCTGCTCCCTGTGAGACAGAAAGGCGACGATTAAAAGTCCGAGCGCAACATATTGCATAACGTAAGTGAATTGTGCGGTTTGCCGATTGTAATTAACTACATTTAAATTGGACTACTACTACATAATATATATATTTAATATTGTATTACCTATCAAATATTCCTAGTTTCAATCTTAATTTGAAAACCGATGAAACTTCTCCATTTTTGTTTAGATTTGTGATATCTTAGAGTTTAAGCTTTATTAGCCTTTTTTCTCCTGCCTGTGCCGCCCATTTTCCCGGGCCCAGGCAGCACACATTCCGAGTTACATACAATAAAATGTATGTATTACATATGTACATATGTACCCATATATATATTCCTACCTCACCATATAAAAAGTGGCGCCCTTTTTGTGTTACATGAACTCTCCCACACCCCCTCTCGCTCTTTCGCACATATTTGTATTGTGTTTGTGTGTCCTCTGCTTAGCTGAATTATTTGCTGGACCACCGAAAACAATCAAATGGAAAAAGACGCAAAGAGAGAGTGAGAGAGTAGAGCTTTGAGAGAGGGAAGTATGCTGCTTAAGTGCTTGCTATAGCTCAGGACCTAAGCAAACAATATACTCTCCGCTACCCTCTATTCATCTTTCCCCCACTCGTGCGCGCGCGCCTCGTTTCTCTCTGTATGCCTTGCATTTATTTAACCCCCCGCAGGCAGCTCTAGTTTTTCTTACACATACACAAACACTTACGCTCCAAAGCGCGTTGTCTTTAATCGATTTGTACTTCTTGATATTTACATCAGCCACCTGCCTCCTCTCACACTCACACATACACTCCCATACTCTCCGCGTGCGCTCTCACAACTTCTATCAAATGCTTGTATTCTCTGATTGGATATCTAAATCCTGAATCCTGCTAAAGGGACGCATATCGGCGGAGCCATACTTCACACCCATAACTCCTCCACTCCCTTTTCATGTATCTGCTTGGATATTTATTTGCGTGTGCGTGTGTTTTGCCTTTACAATTTATATAAAGTTATTTCATTGTGTGTGCAGAAGAACGCTCCGTTTTTGTGCCTAAGCCTCTTTACTTTACTCTAATGGGCAATATTTTCAGTTTATCAGCATAAAATCAATATCTGCCCAGCCGCATTTTTTGAACATCTTTACATATGAGCATTAGTTTCTGGGTGTATGTGTGTGCGTTCGTGTATGCTGCTCAACTGTACTCGTATGTTAAAGGGTTAACGTTCGCCAGCGCCGCCAATACACCAGCTTAACATTAGTGCACTTTACAACAACATAAACTACAGAAAGAGTTACGCCTAACTCACATAATGTTGTCACACTGTTAACTGTTCTCGTTGCGCTGTCAAGAGCCAACTTATAGAAAGTAATTACAGAGTTAATTTAAATTTCTGCCCAATCAAGTCTAAATTTAAGATGCAACTAATTTCAATGTTTTTTTTTATTTTAATTCGTTGTTTTGCAGTTTAAAATGTAAAATATGTTTAATATTTATCCGATTTAAAAAGATATACAATTCTTGAGCCACGCCTAAGAGAGAAGAACGAACTTCGAAAATCTATACCTGCTTTAGTTTTACAGTTACACTGTCAAAATTTGACAGGTACACCTACTCATGATCTGCAAAATCGAGTTGCTTCCACAACTTGCGAAGATCGAAATTTGATCAAGTTCATAGAGAGAGATAGAGTCTTATTGGGAGAATTTTCGTAAGCGTTAACTAAGACTGAACAGAGTATTAAGCAGTCGGTTTGCCTTCGACTGCAGCAATGTGCCTATGTGGCTTCTTTTTTTTTTTTTACTGAACTCTACAATGTTTATTACTTCTAGGTTAAACTACCAGGACTCGGACTGCAGTCGGATAGACCCGCAGCTATAAGAAAAATTACACATGGGCATGTCCTAGAACAGAAAAGAAGAATAAGCTACATGGTAATTTTGACTAGCGCTCCTTCTGCTTTGATGCCCGCTATTGTCCAATATCAATAACCAGAGCCAACAAATTCCACTTGACTTTTTGTAGCCACGACGGCCAGCGAAAGCAGTCGACAGCAGCAACAACGACAACAATATGTAGGCTGCATCAACCACAGCTACAGCAGCAGCAACAGCAACAACTACAACAACAATAACAACAATTGTTTAAGAAGCAGCAGCCGCAGCAGCAGCAACAACAACAACAACAATAATAATAATCAACACGAGAACAACAAGAATTATTGGAAAGAACAAAAAAAAGAGCGAGAGAGGCAACATAATTTGCGTCTAGTTCTCCATAAATGCAGCACGTGAGCGCTGCCAGTTCGGCACCTTCGGTGGTTTCAGCACCGGTGGTGACCACTGGCGGTGGCACCACCATCACTTTGGGCGGACCGCCGCCATTGCCCGGCAGCAAATCAGATCATAAAGAGGACGGCGGCAAGCCGCCACACGGCATTGAAATGTATAAAGTGAACATTGAGGATATATCACAGTTATTTACGTATCACGAGGTCTTTGGCAAAATCCATGGCGATGTGGTGAATCATGTGGCGGCGGTGCATGGCAGCCAGCTGCCACCGCCGCAGCTGCCACCGCCACCGCCATTACCGCCGCAGACGACGCATTCGGCTAGCGCAGCTGCAGCAGCAGCGGCGGCGTCCACAAATAATGCAGCCGTCGCTGCTGTAATGGCATCCGCCAATGCAGCAGCCGCGGCTGCAGCGGCCGCCTCAGCGGCGGCCACAGCCCAACAGCAACAGCAGCAACAGCAAGCCCCAGCGACAAGCACAAATGCTGGATCACAACAGGGCAGCGCCACGGTGACCACGACTAGCTCTGGCAGCAACGGGGGGAATGGGGGCCAGAACAACAACAACAACAACAACAACAATAACAACAACTCGACAACGACGACGACGGGTGAGTTGCTAATGCCGAAAATGGAGGGCGGCATTCATGGCGTCGATGGGCAATCGAGCGTTGCGTTGGCGCCGGATGGCACGCCCATAGCGACTGGTACGCATGTGTGCGACATTTGTGGCAAAATGTTCCAGTTTCGCTATCAGCTGATTGTGCACCGTCGCTACCACAGCGAGCGCAAGCCGTTTATGTGTCAGGTATGCGGTCAGGGTTTTACCACATCGCAGGATTTGACCCGCCATGGGAAGATCCATATTGGCGGTCCCATGTTCACTTGCATTGTGTGCTTCAATGTGTTTGCCAATAATACGAGTCTGGAGCGCCATATGAAACGGCATTCAACGGACAAGCCATTCGCCTGCACCATTTGCCAAAAGACTTTCGCACGCAAAGAGCATCTGGACAATCATTTTCGTTCGCATACGGGCGAAACACCGTTCCGTTGTCAGTACTGCGCCAAGACGTTTACGCGCAAGGAGCACATGGTTAATCATGTGCGCAAACACACGGGTGAGACGCCACATCGTTGCGATATTTGTAAGAAGTCCTTCACGCGCAAGGAACACTATGTTAACCACTACATGTGGCACACTGGTGAGTGTGATTTGGTGACCGGGGGCGGACAATGCGAGCGGCGAGCGCCACGACCACAAATACAAAAAAAAAAAAAAAACCAATTACCAAAAACAAGAAAACCTAAAGAAAATCCAAAAAAAAAAAATTTAATAATTAAAAAACCAAACAGAAAATTGATAACCGATTATCAAATTACCAAAATTCCAGTAGAGTACAAAACCAAAAAAAAAAAAAAAAAAAAGAAAAATACAACCAAATCAGCTACAGATAATATCAACAGCCATCACATCACACCAACCAAATCAAAATCAATCAATTGATCAATCAAATCTCAATCAATCAAGTAACCGCAACTCATCGTGCGTAATTCCTATCGTCTGCTTCCCTCCTTCCCACTGTCTTTACATTGCTTGTGCTTCCTATATATAAGCCTCCTTATATGTAGCCCTTCAGCTTCCCTGCATTTTGTACTCACAACCTCTCACCCACACCACACTCACATTTTTGCCTTTCGCATTTAAGAGCTGAATAACTATCGATAGTAAGCACACCGCGTAATATTGAAACAAGAAGATCTCATTTGGGAGAGGTGCAAATACATTTGAAAACAAACGATATTTTTTTTGTATATTTCGAATCAAACGAGTAGTTTTTTTTTTTTGTAGTCAAATCAATTTGATGAAATTTCTTAAAGTCCTTAATTGATGCTGTCGATTGCTGTTAAGCTCAGTGTACATTTCCAATATTCTCGCTCAATACTCGCTCATACCGCTCATAACAATCCTACCCCCCAAGCCAACATCACACACACACACCCACACACACACACACACACGCACACACTCTCACATGCTCACAATCATTCACTCATCATCAAACCACTCACTTCACTCCTCCAATTGTTCCTGTTATTTAAAGCGTCTTCGATTCTTTCTCACTCACTTCGTGTAGTTTGCCTGTGCTCCATTTCCTTAGTATCCCAGTTTTGTAAACGCTCCTCCTCTCCCCCCTCTCTGCTGTACAGGGTGCTTGAAAACAAAGAAGCGTTCGTTGTTGCTGCTTGTCGATTGCCAACGTCCTGTGCCTGTGCCTACGGCGTTCATAGTGCGACAGAAGACAAACAAAGACAAACACTTAACACCTAGTGGGCTGAAGAGATTCTCCCATTCCTTCCAACACACATGCATTTAATTTAGGGTTAGATTTTGGCGTCGAACCCGATTTCATTCACCAGACGAACTTTACGTTCATGCACACATTTGCATTTTGCATTAGCATTAGTGCAGAATATCTAGAACTGGAAAGCTTTCGAATGGAAAGTGCCGCCATTAGGGATGCTCAGTAATTGAAATATGAAATTGAAATGAAAATCCAATTGGTTTCCAGCTCTAGTTCGAGTTTTAGGCACACACAAATGCACA